TCCATGAAGTGAGGGCTTCCAGCAGTTGATGTTTCAAAAATGGTAGAAGAAGCCAGTTCCAATGAAGAGCCTGTCATTCCTGGAGGACTTGAGGTAGCAGGCATTCTGGTCCCTACTGGCACCATGGAGATTGGGGGAGTTTCCCCAGCCAGAGTCAAATGTGGGGATGTTTCAGATGAAGCTGAGGGTGGCATGGAGACATGTGTTGTACTCTGGGTGGCCCCTGTGTTGCTGTCTGTTTTGGCTGAGCTCAGAGTGGAAGCTAGGAAGTGATCTGTCTTCAGACCATCTGTGACTTCTGGTGTGAATGTGTCTGTGGTCATTGCCCAGGGAGAAGTTTCTTCAGTGGAGTGTGACGTTGGAGTGGAACGACTCACAGAGGCTGGTACGCTGGTTGATGCTGACATCTGCTCCATTTCTGTCACCTCACTCATCTCTGTCCATGGGACACGCTGGGATCCAGAAATAAACTTCACTGTGACAGCTCCTTTGGACCATAGCACAGCATGTGAGGTGCTAGCAATGGAGGCCCTAAGAGGTTCTGAGCTTGTAGGGGAGACTGCTCCAGTGGCGGACCTGGACGTAGCACTTCCTGTGCTCATGGGCTCTTGCCATAAGGGAGATGAAGATGCCATTGCAGAACTTGTGAGTCTGATGTTTGAAGTGGTGTCCAAAGCTGGCACACTAGTCCACGCTGAGGTCTTGTGTGCTGGCATTTCAGGACTTATGTCAGGACCCCTGCTGTGCTGGGATCCTGTTAGGTCTCTAATAGTTCCAGCACTTGTCCAGGTACTTGGTGCGGTAGCACTGGGAATGTGTGTACTGAGGAGTTCTGAGCTCTCAGGGCCAGTGGTGCCGGCAGTGAGCCCTGCAGAGGTGCTGGCTGTGGTTGTGAACTCCGCCATCGAGTGAGATGAAGACACCCCAGTTGGACTTAAAGCGTTGCTTTCAGATTTGGTAAAACTGAGGCTGAAAGGTGAGGTGGTGGTCAAACTGGTCTTTGTTCCAGGTGATGAAGTCTCAGATGGCTCATTGGAGGGACTCACAGGGTTCTTAGTTTGCACTCCAGTGATGGACAGTGGAGTCCTGGTCTCCATGGTTACAGAACTTATCGATGATGAAATGTTGGTTTTCTCCTCTGAGATGCTGGTGAAGCCACGGGTGTTGGTACTCCCCGACTGTTCAGAAGCCCACATGCTGGTTGTGGGGATCCTCATTGAGTCTTTGACCCCAGAGGAGGCACTGAAGGACTGGACAGTCCTTGTTGTCCATTCATGCGATGGAGAATAGGACTCCAGAAGAGGAGTTGTACTTTCAACTGCATCAACAAAACTGGTATCTGCGTTACTTAATGTCATGGTATTAGTGAAGCTTGAACTGGTTTCTGCCTTAGCAAGCGTCCCTGATGTTGACGAGGAAGGACTTGTTTGGACTGGAAAGCTGCTTGTCCCTGAAACTTTACCACTGTGGGGTGAAGTTGCTATCAATGGAGTCTCCTCAGTGCTAGTCCTGACATCTCCAGTAGAGGGACCTTCTGGAGAAAAGGATTGCACAGTGTGCAGTGGGGTGAGTCCTAGGCTGGTGGGTTCCCTGAAGTCTGGAGTTGGTCCTAATGGTGAGTCTGTGATTCCTGGAGCACTTGAGGTGACAGTCACCCTTGTCTCTGCTGGCATCATGGAGGTTGGGAGAGTTGTCCTACCCAGAGTCAAATGTGTGGTTGTCTCAGTTGAAGCCGAGGGTAATACAGACGGATTTATCGTTCTCTGGGTGGTTCCTGTGCTGCCTCTGGTGGCTGAGCTCCTGGTAAAAGTCAGAAGGTGATCAGTGGCTGAATCTTTTGTGGCTTCTCCTGTGAGTATAACTGTAGTTTTATCCATGGGAGACGTTTCTTCGGTGAACTGAGCCAGTGGAGTGGATTGAGTAAAAGAAGTTGGCAAAGTGATTTGTTCTGGTTTTGTTCCTTCACTTGTTGCTGTCCATGGAACATGCTGGGATCCAGAAGAGAACTGAACTGTGCCAGCACTGGATCGTGTCACTGCCTGTGGGATGCTGGAGGTGGACACTCGAAGAGTCTCAGAGCTCGTTGGGGACAGTCTCCCAGTGGTGGACCTTGTGGACATGCTGCCAGTGCTTATGGATTCCTGCAGTGCCTGAGATGAAGAGACCTCTGCAGAACTTGTGAACCTGGTGCCTGAGGTGGTGGTAGAAGCTGGCACACCTGTCAATGCTGAGGTCCTGTGAGCAGGCGTTTCAGGACTTTTCTCAGTCCCACTGCTGTGCTGGGATCCCGTTAAGTCTTTGACTGTCCTGGCACTTGTCCACAGGCTGGGTGAAGGGCCACTGGACGTGTGTGTCCTGGGGAGGTCAGAGCTTCCCAGGCCAGCTGTCCCAGCAGTGGGCCCTTCAGGGGCACTGCTGACCACCATAGTGAACTCCTCCATTGAGTGAGATGAAGAGACCTCAGTTGGCCTTATGGAATTGCTTTCAGAGTTTGTAAAAGTAGAGTTGAAGGCTGAGGTGATGGTCCAATTAATGCCTGTCTCAGGTGAAGCAGTCTCAGATGGCTGACTTGTGGGACTCTGAGTGTTCCTAGTCTCCACTGTACTGATGGGCAGGGGACTCTTGGTCTCCCAGGGGATGGATAGGGTAGATGAAATGTTGGTTTCCTTCTCTGGTGCATTGGTGAGACTGTGGGTGCTGGTACTCTCTGACCTTTCAGAAGCCAACATGCTGGTTGTGGGGATCCTCTTGGAGTCTTCGACCCCAGAGGAGTCAGTGGTGGTGTGGACAGTCCTTGTTGTCCATTCCTGTGATGGAGAATAGGACTCCAGAGGAAGGGTTGCACTTTCGACTGTCTCAGTAGCATGGCTGGTTTCTGCATTAGATAATGTGATAGAGTTAGTGATATTTGAGGTGAGTTCTGTCATGGTGAGGGTCTCTGAAGTCAAAGAGGAAGTACTTGTTTGGATTGGGAAGCTGCTTGTCCCTGGGCCTTTACCGCTGTGAGGTGAAGTGGATGTCAATAGAGGGGACTTGTTGCTTGGCTTGCTGTCTCCAGTAGAGAGAGCTTTTGGAGATAAAGTATGCCCAGTGTTCTGTGGGGTGAGTCCCAGGCTTGTGTGCTCTCTGAAGTCAGGACTTCTGGTAGTTGAAGTTTCTGAGATGGTAGAAGTAGTTTGTCCTAATGGTGACTCTGTCATTGCTGGAGCACTTGAGGTGACAGTCACCCTGGTATCTCCTGGTGTCACAAAACTTGGCAGAGCTGTCCCACCCAGAGTCAAATATGTGGTTGTCTCAGACGAAGTCAAGGGTGACACAGACTGATGTGTCATCCTCTGGGTCGTTCCTGTGCCACTGCCCTTGGTGGCTGAGCTCTTGGAAGACGCGAGGAAGTGATTAGTGGCTGAGTCTTTTGTGGCTTCTGCTGTGCGTGTAACTGTAGTTACATCTGTGGGAGACGTTTCTTCAGTGAACCGAGCCAGTGGAGTGGATTGAGTGACAGAGGTTGGCAAAGTGATTTGTTCTGTTTTTGGTCCTTCACTGGTTGCTGTCCATGGAACATGCTGGGATCCAGAAGACAACTGAACTGTGCCAGCACTGGACCGTGTCACTGCCTGTGGGATGCTGGAAGTGGACGCTCTAAGAGGCTCAGAGCTTGTTGGGGATAGTCTCCCAGTGGTGGACCTTGCAGACGTGCGGCCAGTGCTTACGGATTCCTGCAGTGCCTGAGATGAAGAGACCTCTGTAGAACTTGTGAACCTGGTGTCTGAGGTGGTGACAGAAGCTGGCACACCTGTCAATGCTGAGGTCCTGTAAGCAGGCGTTTCAGGACTTTTCTCAGTCCCACTGCTGTGCTGGGATTCCGTTAAGTCTTTGACTGTTCTGGCATTTGTCCACAGGCTGGGTGAAGGGCCACTGGATGTGTGTGTCCTGGGGAGGTCAGAGCTTCCCGGGCCAGCTGTCCCAGCAGAGTGCCCTTCAGGGGTGCTGCTGACCACCGCAGTGAGCACTTCCATTGACTGAGATGAAGAGACCTCAGTTGGCTTTATGGACTTGCTATCAGATTTTGTAAAAGTAGAGTTGATGGCTGAGGTGATGGTCCAATTAATGTCCGTTTCAGGTGAAGCAGTCTCAGATGGCTGACTTGTGGGACTCTGAGGGTTGCTAGTCTCCAGTCTACTGATGGGCAGGGGACTCTTGGTCTCCCAGGGGATGGATTTAGTAGATGGAGAAGTGTTGGTTTTCTCCTCTAGTGCACTGGTGAGGCTGTGGGTGCTGGCACTTACTGACGATCCCAAAACCAACATGCTGGTTGTGGGGATCCTCATTGAGTCTTTGACCCCAGAGGACGTAGTGATGGGGTGGACAGTCCTTGTTGTCCATTCCTGTGATGGAGAATAGGACTCAAGGGGAGGGGTTGTAGTTTTGACTGTCTCAGCATGGCTGGTTTCTGCATTAGTTAATGTCATAGAGTTAGTGATGTTTGAGGTAAGTTCTGTCATGGGAAGAGTGCCTGAAGTCAATGAGGAAGTGCTTGTTTGGATTGGGAAGCTGCTTGTCCCTGAGACTTTACCACTGTGAGGTGACGTTGATATCAGTGGAGTTTCCCTAGTGCTTGACCTGACATCTCCAGTAGAAGGAACTTCGGGAGAAAAGGAATGCAGAGTGTTTAGTGGGGTGAGTCCCAGGCTGGTGGGCTGCTTGAAGTCAGGGCTTCTGGTAGTTGATGTTTTTGAGGTGGTAGAAGGAGTTGGTCCTAATGGTGAGTCTGTCATTCCTGGAGCACTTGAGGTGACAGTCACCCTTGTGTCTGCTGGCATCATGGAGTTTGGGAGAGCTGTCCCACTCAGAGTCAAATGTATGGTTGTCTCAGATGAAGCCGAGGGTGACACAGATGGATGTGTAGTTCTCTGGGTGGTTGTTGTGCCGCTGCCTCTGGTGGCTGAGCTCTCTGTAGAAGCGAGGAAGTGACCAGGGGCTGAGTCTTTTGTGGCTTCTGCTGTGTGTGTAACTGTAGTTATATCCATGGGAGAAGTTTCTTCTGTGAACTGTGCCAGTGGAGTGGATTGAGTGACAGAGGCTGGCAAAATGATTTGTTCTGTTTTTGGTCCTTCACTGGTTGCTGTCCATGGAACATGCTGGGATCCAGAAGAGAACTGAACTGTGCCAGCACTGGACCGTGTCACTGCCTGTGGGATGCTGGAGGTGGACGCTCTAAGAGTCTCAGAGCTCGTTGGGGACAGTCTCCCAGTGGTGGACCTTGCGGACATGCTGCCAGTGCTTATGGATTCCTGCAGTGTCTGAGATGAAGAGACCTCTGCAGAACTTGTGAACCTGGTGCCTGAGGTGGTGACAGAAGCTGGCACACCTGTCAATGCTGAGGTCCTGTGAGCAGGTGTTTCAGGACTTTTCTCAGTCCCACTGCTGTGCTGGGATCCCGTGAAGTCTTTGACTGTTCTGGCACTTGTCCACAGGCTGGGTGAAGGGACACTGGACGTGTGTGTCCCCAGGAGGTCAGAGCTCCCAGCGCCAGCTGTCCCAGCAGTGAGCCCTTCAGGGGCGCTGCTGACCACCGTAGTGAGCGCTCCAGTTGACTGAGATGAAGAGACCTCAGTTGGCTTTATGGACTTGCTTTCAGATTTTGTAAAAGTAGAGTTGATGGCTGAGGTGATGGTCAAATTAATTCCTGTTTCAGGTGAAGCAGTCTGAGATGGCTGACTTGTGGGACTCTGAGGGTTCCTAGTCTCCACTCTACTGATGGGCAGGGGACTCTTGGTCTCCCAGGGGATGGACTCAATAGATGGAGAAGTGTTGGTTTTCTCCTCTGGTGTGCTGGTGAGGCTGTGGGTGCTGGTACTCCCTGACCACTCAGAAGCCAACATGCTGCTTGTGGGGATCCTTTTGGAGTCTTTGACCCCAGAGGAGTCAGTGGTGGTGTGGACAGTCCTTGTTGTCCATTCCTGTGATGGAGAATAGGACTCCAGAGGAGGGGTTGCACTTTCGACTGTCTCAGCACGGCTGGTTTCTGCATTAGTGGTATTTGAGGTGAGTTCTGTCATGGGAAGAGTCCCTGAAGTCAATGAGGAAGTACTTGTTTGGATTGGGAAGCTGCTTGTCCCTGGGCCTTTACCGCTGTGAGGTGAAGTGGATGTCAATAGAGGAGACTTGTTGCTTGGCTTGGTGTCTCCAGTAGAGAGAGCTTTTGGAGATAAAGTATGCCCAGTGTTCGGTGGGGTGAGTTCCAGGCTGGTGTGCTCCCTGAAGTTAGGGCTTCCAGTAGTTGAAGTTTCTGAGATGGTAGAAATAGTTGGTCTTAATGGTGACTCTGTCATTGCTGGAGCACTTGAGGTGACAGTCACCCTGGTATCTTCTGGTGTCATAGAAATTGGGAGAGCTGTCCCCCCCAGAGTCAAATGTGTGGTTGTCTCAGTCGAAGGCAAGGGTGACACAAACTGATGTGTCGTCCTCTGGGTGGTTCCTGTGCCGCTGCCCTTGGTGGCTGAGCTCTCGGTAGAAGCGAGGAAGTGACCAGTGACTGAGTCTTTTGTGGCTTCTGTTGTGAGTGTAACTGTAGTTATATCCATGGGAGATGTTTCTTTGGTGAGCTGAGCCAGTGGAGTGGATTGAGTGACAGAGGTTGGAAAAGTGATTTGTTCTGTTATTGGTCCTTCACTTGTCGCTGTTGGTGGAACATGGTGGGATCCAGAAGACAACTGAACTGTGCCAGCACTGGATCGTGTCACTGCCTGTGGGATGCTGGAGGTGGACGCTCTAAGAGGCTCAGAGCTCGCTGGGGACAGTCTCTCAGTGGTGGACCTTGTGGACATGCTGTCAGTACTTACGGATTCCTGCAGTGCCTGAGATGAAGAGACCTCTGCAGAACTTGTAAACCTGGTGTCTGAGGTGGTGGCAGAAGCTGGCACACCTGTCAATGCTGAGGTCCTGTGAGCAGGCGTTTCAGGACTTGTCTCGGTCCCGCTGCTGTGCTGGGATCCCGTTAAGTCTTTGACTGTCCTGGCACTTGTCCACAGGCTGGGTGAAGGGGTACTGGATGTGTGTGTCCCCAGGAGGTCAGAGCTTCCAGGAGGGCCAGCTGTCCCAGCTGTGTGCCCCGCAGTGCTGCTGCTGACTGTCATGGTGAGCACTTCTGTTGAGTGAGATGAAGAGACCTCAGTTGGCTTTATGGACTTGCTTTTAGTGGTTGGAAAAGTAGAGCTGAAGTCTGAGGTGATGGTCAAATTAATCTCTGTTTCAGGTGAAGTAGTCTCAGATGGCTCGCTTGTGGGACTGTGAGTGTTCGTAGTCTCCTCTGTACTGATGGGCAGTGGAGTCTTGGTCTCCCAGGGGATGGACTCGGTAGATGGAGAAGTGTTGGTTTTCTCCTCTGGTGCACTGGTGAGGCCGTGGGTGCTGGCACTCCCTGACCATTCAGAAGTCAACATGCTGGTCGTGGGGACCCTCATTGAGTCTTTGATCCCAGAAGAGGCAGTGATGGGGTGGACAGTCCCTGTTGTCCATTCCTGGGATGGATAATAGGTCTCTAGTGAAGGAGTTATACTGTCGACTGTCTCAGTAGCATGGCTTGTTTCTGCATTACTTAATGTCATAGAGTTGGTGATATTTGAGGTGAGTTCTGTCAGGACGAGGGTCCCTGAAGTCAATGAGGAAGCACTTGTTTGGATTGGGAAGCTGCTTGTCCCAGAGACTTTACCACTGTCAGATGAAGTTGATATCAACGGAAGTTCCCTAGTGCTTGTCCTGACATCTCCAGTAGAGGGACCTTTGGGAGAAAAGGAATGCACAGTGTTAGGTAGGGTGAGTCCCAGGCTGGTGTGCTCCCTGAAGTCAGTGCTTCCAGTAGTTGAAGTTTCTGAGATGATAGAGGAAGCTTGTCTTAATGATAAGTCTGTTGTTTCTGGAGCACCTGAGGAAACAGTCACCCTTGTCTCTTCTTGTATCACAGAAATTGGGAGTGCTGTCCCATCCAGAGTCAAATGTGTGAATGTCTCAGATGAAGCTGAGGGTGACACAGATGGATGTGTCATTCTCTCGGTGGTTCCTGTGCTGCTGCCACTGGTGGCTGAGTTCACAGTAGGAGCGAGGAAGTGATCAGTGGCTGAGTCTTTTGTGGCTTCTCCTGTGAGTGTAATTGTAGGTAGAGCTGTGGGAGAAGTTTCTTTTGTGAACTGGGCCAGTGAAGTGGATGGAGTGATGGAGGCAGGCACTGTTGATGTTTCTGAGATGGTAGAAGCAATTGGTCCTAATGGTGAGTCTGTGATTCCTGGATCACCTGAGGTGACAGTTACCCTTGTCTCTGCTGGCATCATGGAGGTTAGGAGAGTTGTTCTACCCAGAGTCAAATGTGTGGCTGCCTCAGATGAAGTCGAGGGTGACATGGATGAATGTGTTGTTTTCTGGGTGGTTCCTGTGGCTGAGCTCTCAGTGGGAATGAGGAAGTCATCAGTGGCCGACTCTTTTGTGGGTTCTGCTGTGAATGTGTCTGTAGTTATACCTATGGCAGAAGTTTCTTCTCTGGACTGTGCCAGTGGAGTGGTTGGGGTGCCAGAGGCTGGCACTCTGGATGATGCTGAGATTTGCTCTATTTCATCACTTTTCACTGTCCATGGAACATGCTGGGATCCAGAAGGGAACATAACTGTTGAAACACTGGTCCATGAAATATCTTGTGAGGTGCTGGCTATGGAGGCGCTAAAGGGTTCAGAGGTTATAGGAGTGACAGTCCCAGTGGTGGGCCTGACAGAGGTGTGGCCCGTGTTTATGGGCTCCTGCAGTGCATGAGATGAAGACTCCTGTGCAGAAGTTGTGAGCATGTTGTTTGAGGTGGTGTCAGAAACTGGCATATTAGTCACTGCTGAGGTCCTGTGTGCTGGCATTTCAGGACTTGTATCGATCCCCTTGCTGTGCTGGGATCCTGTTAAGTGTTTCACTGTTCTCACACTTGTCCATGTGTTTGGAGAAGTAGCATTGGGAATGTGTGCACTGAGGAGGTCTGAGCTCCCAGGACCAGCCTTGCCGGCAGTGAGCCCTGCAGAGGTGCTGGCTGTGGTTGTGAGCTCCTCCACCAAGTGAGATGAAGATGCCCTGGTTGGACTTGGGGTGTTGCTTTCAGATTTGGTAAAACCGAGGCTGAATGCTGAGGCGGTGGTTAAATGGGTCTCTGTTCCAGGTGATGAAGTCTCAGCCGGCTCATCAGAGGCACTCACGGTGCTCTTAGTCTCTGCTCCAGTGATGACCAGCGGAGGCCTGGACTCCGTGGGGATAGAACTGGTAGATGGAGACGTGTTGGTTTTCTCCTCAGAAACACTGGAGAGGCCGTGGGTGCTGGGACCCCCTGACCATTCAGAAGGCAGTATCCTGGTTGTGGGGATGTTTGGTGAGTCTGTGACCCCCAAAGAGGCACCGAAGGCCAGGGTGGTCCTTGTTGTCCTTTCCTCTGATGGAGAAGAGGGCTCCGGAGAAGGAGTTGGGCCTTCAGCTCTTCCAGCATTTGTTTGTGCATTATTTAATGTCATGGAGTTGGTGATACTTGACCGGAATTCTGTCGTGGCGAGGGTCCCTGATGTCACTGAGGAAGTACTTGTTTGCACTGGGAAGCTGCTTGTCTCTGGGACTTTCTCACTGTGAGTTGAAGTGGACATCAATACAGGAGCCTTGGTGCTTGGCCTGGCGTCTCCAGTAGAGGGAGCTTCAGGAAATAAAGAATGCCCAGTGCTTGGTGGGGTGAGTCCCAGGCTGGTGTGCTCCCTGAAGTCAGGGCTTCCAGTAGGTGGTGTTTCAAAGATGGTAGAAGCAGCTTGTATTAATGATGAGCCTGTTGTTTCTGGAGCACCTGGGGAAACAGTCACCCTGGTCTTCTCTGGTGTCACAGAAATTGGGAGAGTTATTCCAGCCAGAGTCAAATGTGTGGCTGTCTCAGGTGAAGCCGAGGGTGACAGGGACAGATGTGTCGTTCTCTGGGTGGTTGCTGTGCTGCTGCCTCTGGTGGCTGAGCTCTCAGTGGGAGCGAAGAACTGATCTGTGGCTTCTGGTGTGAAAGTAGCTCTCGTCATTTCCCAGGGAGAAGCTTCTTCAGTGGGGTGTGACGTTGGAGCCGAACGGCTCCCAGAGGCCGGCACACTGGTTGATGCTGGGATTCTCTCAGTTTCTGTAGCATCACTTGTCTCTGCCCATGGCACACTCTGGGATTCTGAAAGAAATTTAACTGTACCAGCACTGGACCACGGCACTGCCTGTGGGGGGCTAGAAGTGGGTGCACTAAGAGGTGCAGAGCTTGTACGGGAGTCTGTCTTGGTGGTGGACCTGGCAGAGGTGATACCTGTGCTTATGGGCTCCTGCTGTTGGTGAGATAAAGATGCCTGTGTAGGAGTTGTGAGTCTGGTGTTTGAAGCAGCAACAGAAGCTGGTACACTAGTCAGTACTGAGGTGCTGCGTGTTGGCGCAGGAGGACGAGTCTCTGTCCATCGGCTGTGCTCGGAACTTGTTAAGTGTTTGATGTTTCTGTCACTTGTCCAAGAGACTGGTGAAGTGGCACTGGGAATGTGTGCACTGAGGATGTCAGAGCTCCCAGCACCAGCCGTGCCAGCCGTGGGCCCTGCAGAGGTGCTGGCTGCGGCCGTGAGCCCCTCCATGGGGTAAGGTGAAGAGGCCTCACTAGTTGGACTAGTGGCCTCATATTCAGATTTTGTGACATTGAGGACCAGGGCTGAGGTGGTGGTCAAATTGATCTCTGTTCCAGGCGATGAAGTCTCAGCCGGCTCATTGGAGGGATTCACGGTGCTCTTAGTCTCCACTGGAGTGATGGGCAGTGGAGTCTTGGTCTCCATGGGGATAGACGGAGAGGTGCTGCTTTTCTCCTCAGAAACACTGGAGAGACCGTGGGTGCTGACAGTCCCTGACCACTCAGAAGACAGCATCCTGGTTGTGGGGATGCTTCGTGAGTCTGTGACCCCAGAGGGGACACTGAAGGTGAGAACAGTTTCTGCTGTCCCTTCGTCTGACCGAGAAGAGGGCTCCAAAGAAAGAGTGGTACTTTCAACTTTCTCAGCAGTTATTTCTGCTTTGCTTATTGTCATGGAGTTGGTGACACTTGAGATGGATTTGGTCATGGCTAAAGTCCCTGAAGGCAGAGAGGAAGTACTTGTTTGGACTGGGAAGCTGCTGGTTGCTGAGACATGATCACTTTGAGATGATGTAGATTTCAATAGAGGAGTCCTAGTGCTTGTGCTGACATCTCTACTAGAGAGATCTTCAGGAGAAAAGGAACGCACAGTGTTCAGTGGGGTTGGTCCCAGGCTGGTGTGCTCCCTGAAGTCAGAGCTTCTAAGAGTTGATGTTTCAGAGACCGTGGAGGAAGCCAGTCGTAAGGATGTGTCTGTCATTCCTGGAGCACTTGAGGAAGCAGACACTCTGGTCTCTGTTGTCACCGTGGAGATTGGGGGAATTTCCCTAGCCAGAGTCCAATGTGTCCAGGGGGGCATGGATGGATGTGCTGTAGACTGTATCATTCCTGTGCTGCTTCCTGCATTGGCTGAGCTCTGCTTGGGAGCAAGGAAGTGATCTGTGACCAGGCCACTTGTGGCTTGTGCTGTGGGCACATCTGTAGTCATTTCCCTGGAAGAAGTTTCTTCTGTGGCCTCGTCAGGTGGAGTGGAATGGATTACAGAGGCCGGCACACTGGTGAATGTTGACATTTTCTCCATGTCTGTAACTTCACTAGTCACTGTCCATGAAACGTGCTGAGATCCAGAAGGGAACTGAACTGTGCCAGCACTGGTCCATGTCACCGCTGGTGGGGTGTGAGCAGTAGAGGCACTAAGAGGTTCAGAGCTTGTAGGGGAGACTGCTCCAGTGATGTACCTGGCAGGGGTGCTGCCTGGGCTAATGGGCTCCCCCAGTGTGTGAGATGAAGACACCTGTGCAGAAGTTGTGAGCCTGGCATTTGAAGTGGTGCCGGAAGCTGAGGTCCAGTGTGTTGGCATTTCAGGACTTGTTTCATCCCATCTGTTGTGCTGGGATCCTGTTAAGCCTTTATCTGTTGTGTCACCTGTCTGGATCACTGGTGCAGGGGTGCTGGAACTGTGTGTACGGAGGATGCCAGAGCTCCCAGGGCCAGGAGTATGAGCAGTGTGCCCCGAGGAGCTGCTGGCTGGGGCGGTAAGCTCTTTCTCTGGGTAAGATGAAGAGATCTCTGTTGGCCTCATGGTCTCGCTTTCAGATTTTGTAAAACTGGGGCTGAAGGCTGAGATGGTGGTCAAACGGACTTCTGTTCCAGGTGATGAAGTCTCAGCTGGCTCATTGGAGGAACTCACGGTGTTCTTAGTCTCCACTGCAGTGATGGGCAGTGGAGTCTTGGTCTCCATGGAGACAGAACTGGTAGATGGAGATGTGTTGGTTGTCTCCTCTGTACCACTGGAGAGGCTGTGGGTGCTGGCAGTCCCTGACCAGTCAGAAGACAGCATCCTGGTTGTGGGGACGCTCGGTGAGTCTGTGACTACAGAAGAGGTCTGAACAGCTCCTGATGTCCATTTCTCTGACTGAGAAGGTGGTTTCAGAGAAGGAGTTGTGGTTTTAATTGTCTCAGCCTTTGTGTTGACATTACTAAATGTCTTGGAATTAGTGACACTTGAGTTTGTTTCTGTCATGGCTAGAGTCCGTGAAGTCAGTGAGGAAGTGCTTGTTTGCGTTGGGAAGTTTCTTGTCCCTGAGATGTGACCTCCACGAGACGAAGTGGACGTCAATAGAGGAGCCCTAGTGCTTGTCCTGGTGTCTCCAGTAGAGGGAGCTTCAGGAGAAAAGGAATGCCCAGTGTTCGGTGGGGTGAGTCCCAGGCTGGTGAGCTCCCTGAAGCCTGGGGTTCCAGTAGTTGATGTGTCAGATATGGAAGGAGCCAATTGTATGGAGGAGTCTGTTATTCCTGGGGTGCTCGAGATAGCAGTCGTCCTGGTCTTGGTTGGTGTTGTGGAGACTGGGGGATCTTTACCAGCCACAGGTGAGTGTGTGGGAGCAGCAGGTGAAGCCAGGGGCAGTGTGGACAGATGTGTTGTACCCTTGGTTGATGCTATGCTGCTGCTTGTGGCTGGGCTCTCAGTGGATGAAAGGAACTGATGAGTTCCTGGGTCACGAGTGGCTTCTGCTGTGAACATGTCTGTAGCCATTTCCCTGGAGGACATTTGTTCTGTGGACTTGGTGGGAGGAGCAGAATGGGTTGTAGATGCTGGCACGCTGGTTGATGCTGAGATTGGATCTATTTTTATTCTCCTTGTCACTGTCCAGGGAAGATGCTGCGTTCCCGAAGTGAACTTGACTGTGCCAGCACTGGACCCTGGCACCGCCTGTGGGGTGCTGGCAGTGGAGACACTAAGGGGTTTGGAGTTTGCAGGGGAGCTTGTCCATGTGGTGGTGGGCCTGGCAGAGGCGCTGCCTGTGTGCATGGGTTCCTGCAATGGGGGAGATGAAAACACCTTGGGAGAACTTGTGACAGTGTTGTTTGAGATGGTGACAGTAGCTGGCATACTTGTCATTGCTGAGGTCCCATGTGCTGGCATTGCAGGACTTTCCTCCATCCACCTGCTGTGCTGGGATTCTGTTAAGTCTTTATCTGTTCTGGGACTCACCCAAGATCCTGGAGAAGGGGTGCTGGCAATGTGTGCACTGAGAGTGTCAGAGCTTTGAGGGCTGGCTGTGCTGAGAGTGAGCCCTGTAGAGGTGCTGGCTGTTGCTGTGAACTCTTCCTCTGGGTGAGATGAGGAGATCCCCATTGGCCTTGTGACCTTGCTTTCAAGTTTTGTAAAACTGGGGCTGAAGGATGAGGTGTCAGCCAAACTGATTTCAGCTCCAGGAGGTGAAGTCTCAGCCGGCTCATTGGAGGGACGTACAGTGTTCTTAGTCTCCGCTGTATCAATAGACAGTGGAGTCTTGGTCTCCTTGGGGATAGAAGTGATAGATGGAGAAGTGTTGGCTTTCTCCTCTGAAACACTGGTGAGGCCGTGGGTGCTGGCACCCCCTGACCATTCGAAAGACGACATCCTGGTGGTGAAGAGGCTTGTTGTGTCTGTGACTGCAGAAGAGGCAGTGGCAGCATGGCCAGTCCCTGCCGTTCCTTCCTCTGATGGAGAAAATTGTGTCAGAGAAGCACTTGTACTTCCAACTATCTCAGCATTTGAGTTTGCTTTACTGAATGTCATGGAATTAGTGAGACTTGAGCTGGTTCCTGTCACGTCGAGGGTCCCTGAAGTCAATGAGGAGGTATTTGTGTGGCCTGGGAAGTTGCTAGTTGCTGAAATTTGATCACTTTGAGGTGAAGTAGATGCCAATAGAGGGGTCCTTGAGCTCACTGTGACACCTCCAGTTGAGGCAGCTTCAGAAGAAAAGGAATGCACAGTTTTCGGTGGGGTAAATTCCAGGCTCGTGTGCTCCAGGAAGTCAGGGGTTTGAGTAGTTGATGTTTCAGACACAGTAGAGGAAGCCAGTCCTGGTGGAGAATCTGCCATTCCTGGAGCGCTTGAGGTAACATTCCCCATGGTTTCTTCTGGGACAGTGGTGATCAGGAGAGTTTTCTGAGGCAGAGTCAAAGGTGTGGCTGTCGCAGATGAAGCTGAGGGTGGCATGAATTGATGTGTTGTACTCTGGAAGGTCCCTGTGCTGCTGCTTCTCATGGCTGAGCTCTCAGTGGAAGTAAGGAACTCATGAGTGGCTGGATCACTTGTGGCTTTGACAGTGACTACATCTCGAGTTATTTCCACGAAAGCAGTTTCTTCTGTGGACTGGGCAGGTGGAGTGGATGGGGTTACAGTGACCAGCACACTGGTTGATGCTGAAGCTGGCTCTATTTCTATTCCTTTCCTTGTCCCTGTCCTTAGACCATTCTGGGATGCAGGTGCAAGTGTAATTGTTGAAGCACTGGACCATGAGATATCCTGAGAGGTGATAGCACTGGATGCTTTTAGGGGTTCAGAGCTTGTAGGGGAGACTGTCCCAGTGGTGGGCCTGACAGAGGTGCGGCCTGTGCTTAGGGGCTCTTGCAGGGCATGAGGTGAAGGCTCCTGTGGAGAAGCTGTGAGAGAGGGGTTTGAGGTGGCAACAGAGGCTGCTACAGTAGTCAATGCTGAGGTCCCGTGTGCTGGCATTTCTGAACTTGTCTCTGTCCACCTGCTGTGCTGGGATTCTGTTAAGTCTTTATCTGTCCTGAAACTAGTCCAAGAGTCTGTCGAAGGGGTGCTGGGAATGTGTGCACTGGGGATGGCAGAGCTCCCAGGGCCAGCTGTGCTGGGAGTGCGCTTGACAGAGGTGTGGGCTGTGGCTGTGAGCTTCTCCACTGGAGGAGATGAAGAGCCCTCAGGTGGCCGTGTGGCCTCGCTTTCAGATCTTACAAAACTGGGGCTGAAGGCTGAGGTGGTGGTCAGAGTGATCTCTCTTCCAGGAGATGAAGTCTCAGCCGGCTCCTTGGAGGGACTCACAGTGCTAGTAGTCTCTACTGTAGTGATGAGCAGTGGAGTTTTGGTCTCCATGGGGATTGAACTGGTAGATGGAGATGTGTTGGTTTTATCTTCTGAAACATTGGTGAGGCCATGGGTGCTGACAGTCCCTGACCGCTCAGAAGACTGTATCCTGGTTATGGGGACGCTCTGTGAGTCTGTGACTCCAGAAGAGACACTGAAGGTGAAAACAGTCCCCACTGTCTCTTCCTCTGATGGAGAAAAGGGCTTCGGGGAAGGAGTGGCGATTTCAATTGTCTTAGTATTTGTATCTGTATTACTCACTGTCACAGCAATAGTGACATTTGAGCTAGTTTCTGCCATGGCTAAGGTCTCTGAAGTCAAGGAGGAAGCACTTGCTTGGATTGGAAAGCTGTTTGTCCCTGAGACTTTATCACTGTGAGGAGAAGTAGACGTCGAAAGAGGAGCCCTAGTGCTAGTCCTGACATCTCCAGTGGAGGGACTTTCAGGAGAAAAGGAACGCACAGTGTTCAGTGGGGTGAGTCCCAGGCTGGTGGGCTCCCTGAAGTCGGCGCTTCCAATAGTTGATGTTTCAGAGATGGTAGAAGCAGCTTGTCTTAATGATGAGTCTGTAATTTCTGAGGCACTTGACATAACAGTCACACTAGTCTCTTCTGGGGTCATGGAAAGTGGGGGAGTTTTCCCAGCCAGAGTCAAATGTGTGGCTGTCTCCAAAGAAGCCGAGTGTGGCATGGACAGGCGGGTTGTACGCGGAGGGGTTCCTGTGCTGCTGTCTCTTGTGGCTAAGCTCTCAGTTGAAGCAAAGGGCTGATGAGTTGCAGGGCCATCTGAGACTTCTGCTGTGAACACATCTGTAGTCATTGCCCTGGGAGAAGTTCGTTCTGCGGAGTGGTCCAGAGCAGTGGATGGGGTGACAGAGGCTGGCACGATGGTTGATGCTGAGATCTGGTTGATTTCTGTTCCATCACCGGTCGCTGTCCATGGAACTTGCTGGGATCCAGGAAGGGACTTAGCTGTGGCAGCTGTGGACCATGATGCTGCATGTGGGGTGCTCTCAGTGGAGGCGCTAAGAGGTCCAGAGCTTTTAGGGGAGACTATTCTGGTGGTGGACCTGGCAGAGGTGCCCATAGGCTCCTGATGCAGGTGAGATGACAAGGTCTTTGTAGGACTTGTAATCCTGATGTCTGAAGTGTTTCTAAAAACTTGCATCCTAGTCGATGCTGAGGTCTTGTGGGCTGGCATTTTAGAATTTATCTCAGTTCCTCTAATGTGCTGGAATCCCGTGACTGGGGAAGGAGTGCTAGAAATGTGTGCACTGAGGATGCCAGAGCTCCCAGGACCTGCTGTGCCAGCAGAGGACTCTGCAGAGGTTCTGGCTGTGGTCATGAGCTCTCCCTCTGGGTGAGATGAAGAATGCACAGTTGGGCTTGTGACACTGTTTTCAGATTGTGTGTATCTGGGATTGAAGGCTGAGGAGGTGGTCAAGCTGATCTCTGTTCCAGGCAATGAAGTCTGACCTGGCTCATTGGAGGGACTCACAGAGTTCTTAGTCTCTGTTGGAGTGACGGGCAGTGGAGTCATGCTTCCTGTGGAGCTAGATATGGTAAATGGAGAAACACTGGAGTGGCCATCATTGCGGGCAGTCCCTGCCAGTTCAGAAGGCAGCATCCTGGTTGTGGGGATGTTCGATGAGTCTGTGGCCCCACATGAGGAGCTGATGGTGTGGACAGGCCTTGCTGTCCCTTCCTGTGGCTGAGAAGAGGGCTCCAGAGAAGGAGTTGTGCTTTTGACTGTCTCAGTGCTGATTTCTGCATCAGTTAACATTGTGGAATTAGTGATACTTGATGGGAATTCTGTCATGGCTCGTGCCACAGGACTCCCTGATGTCATGGAAGATGTCCTTGTTTGGGTTGGAGATTTGCTGGTCCCTGAGATTTTACCACTGTGAGGTGAAGTGGACGTCAATAGAGGAGCCCAAGTGTGTGTGCTGGTGTCTCCAGCAGAGGGAGGTATAGGAGAAAAGGAACGCACAGCGTTCAGTGGGGTCAATCCCAGGCTGGTGTGCTCCTGGAAGCCAGAGGTTTGGGTATCTGAAGTTTCAGTGATGGTAGAAGTACCCAGTGCCAAAGATGAGTGCGTCCTTCCCGGAACACTTGAGCTGCCAGCTGTCTGGGTCTCTTCTGATGAAATGGAGATCGGAAGAGTTTCCCCAGTTAGAATGAAACGTGTGGATGTCTCAGATGAAGCCAATGTTGGTATGGGCAGATGGGTGGTACCTTGGGTGGTTGTTAGGCTGCTGCCTATATTGGCTGAGTTCTGAGCAGAAGCAAGGGAGTGATCCAAGGTCAGGTCATTTGTGCCTGTTGGTGTGAATATGTCTGTAGTGATTCTCCTGTGAGAAGTTTCTTCTGTGAACCGGACGGGTGGAGTGGATGGGATTCGAGAGGTTGGCAGACTGGCTGATGCTGAGATATACTCCATTTCTCTTATGTCCCTTCTCTTTGGAACAGCCTGGGTTTCAGAAAGGAACTTGACTGTGTCAGTGCTGGACCATGGCGTTGCCTGTGGGGTGCCAGCAATGGAGGCACCAAGGGGTTCAGAGCTTGTGGGGGAGACTCTCTCAGCGGTGGACCTGGCCCAGGTGCTGCCTGTGTTCACAGGTTCCGGCAGTGGGTGAGATGAAGATACCTTTGTAGAACTTGCAAGCCTGCCATTTGTAGGGGTTAAACCTGAGATTGGTGCAGACGTGGAAGCCAGATTACTTTTACCTTTGGGAACAGAAGTTTCAGATGGATTCATAGTTGAATCAAAATTGTTTTTGTTTTCTTCTGTGATGTGTAGTTTATTGTTTGTCTCCATTGAGGTAGAAGTTGTAGATGGAGAAGAAGGGTCAGTTTTCCCTCCTGAAACACTGGTTGAATCTAGGCTTTCTCCACTCCCTGACAATTCAGAAGATAGTAGGCTCAGCGGATCTGTAGTCCCATACAAGGCACTGAAGGCCAGGCTACTCAGTGCCGTCTCACCCTCTGATGGGGATGGAGGCTCTAGAGAAGGCATTGGACTTCTGATTTTTTCACCATTTATTTCTACCTTACTTAGTGGCATGGAATTAAGGATAGTTGAGCTGGTTTCGGCCTTGGCTGGGGTCTCAGAGGTCCCTGAACTGATGGATGAAGTAACACTCTCCACTGAAACTTTACTTGTCTCTGAAGCTTTATCACTGAGAAGTGAAGGGATTGTCAACAGTGGAGTGCTTATCCTGATGTCTCCAGTAGAGGTGGATTCAGGAGAGAAAGAATGCTCAGTGTTTGATGAGTTTTGTCCCGAGTTTGTGTGCTTTTCAGAATGTGCAGTTTCAGTAGACGCTGTCTCAGGGGTTGGGTTTGTCCTCTCAGGAGGATCTGAGCCATCGGCCACCTTAGTCTCTGCAGGAGGTTTGGATATTGCAACACTGTTCATGGTCAAGGTCAAGTGTGGAGATTTCTTAGACGGATCTGGGGCTCCTGTGAACAAATGAGTCGTGTCCCAGGTACTTTCTCTGCTGCTGCTTCTTGTCATGGAGATGTCAGGACCATTATGATGTTGGCCATTGTTTGTGTCCACTGTCAACTCAGTGGTGAATGCATCTCTATGTATTTCTCGGGAAGAACTTTGTTTGGTAGAGTTGGTCTCTGAGGTGGTGGATGCAGGGTGATCTGCAGGGTGATCACGTGGAGTCGTTGAAGGAAGGGCATGTGAGCTGAGCTCTTTCACTGTTGGGGTTTCGGTGGTCTCTGAAGTCAGGCTGCGCCACGGGAGTGAAGGCGGCACTGTAGAACCACCAGTGAGAGCTGAAGGACAAAAACATGGGTGAACATGGGAGCTTTACTCACTGCCCAGAGTTCTGGTGTTGAGGCCAAGGAGACTGGACCCTGTGCTCCATCTCTATCTGAATATCAGGTGAGGATGCCAAACTGCAGCCTGACCCAGAGAGCCTTGTTTGTCACCGCTGTGCCCAACGGATATTTTTTTAAATAACATTTTTATTTTATACCAGCCTGCTTACAAAATTCACATATATTGTTTTTCACACTGGATTTTTTCCCATTTCCTTTATCCACCCCTCGCTCTACCCATCAAATTGTGTGACGCTATGGTTACTCCCTGGCCCATTCTCATCCCTCTGCTCCTACACTCCCCCATCCCAGATCCTCATACACATTTTACTAGTTATCTATTTCTCCAATAATGGTCTTATATAGTATTTGTCCTTATGGGACTGAGTTAGTTTACTTAGTATATGCTCTCTAGTCCTTTCCAAGTTAGGTAGTGAATTTCAAAATCATTGCTTCTGCAGGCTACATAGTATGCCATCGTGTGAATATACCATAATTTCTCAATCCATTTGATTATGGTTGGACATTTATGTGCCCAGCATCTTACACAACTTCTGATACCTGGATTATTCTTATCCATCTCATCAAGTGTTGCTAGGATATTTGCTGGCCTGGTTACTCATAGTGGACAGTGTTTGGTGGATCTCCTGAATTAAGACAAGTTTGGAAGCAGGAGTGGCATCCACTTCCAAAATAGCTTGCCTCTGGAAAGTCTATGAGCTTGGAGAAAAGATGAATTTTTTTTGTGTTCAAGACTTTTGTTCATAGAGTCATTATGAGTTGTCTATGACTTGATGGCACCTAACAACAACAACTACTTTATCAAACAATATTCTCTCCCTTAGTGATTCATCTCAATGATGGGTCCAAAGCAAGTGAGGTGGACAGTATTCTGCTGTAATTTTTGGAAGCTTGGTGATGTAATGGTTAAGCGTTTGCTCATAATTGAAACATCAGTCATTTGAAATGACCAGAAAAGCCCTGAGAGAAAAAGCTTGGCAGTCAGCTCCTGTGAAGACTTATGCTAACATAATCCCCTCAATGCCATTGAATCTGAACTCATAGCTGACTTTCCAGTGAGTTTTCAGAGGCTGTAAATGGCACAGAAGGAGATTGTCCATCTTTCTCCCATGGAGCTGCTGGTGGATTCAAGCTGGCTTCCTTTTAGGTTAGCAGAGCAAATCCCTACAGCCTACACTACCAGAGTTCTTCCCCTCTTCTTACCTCCTCTGTAAAGGTAGTCGTTATTAGTTGCCATTGAATTGAGTATGACTCATAGAGAACCAATGAATGACAGATCTGAACCCTGTCCTATCCTGTGCCATCCTCACAATTTCTGACACACAAGAGCCCATTATGACAGTCACTGTGTCAATCCAACTGGTTGAGGGTCTTCTCTTTTGCTGATCTGTTACCTTTCCAAGCATGATGTCCCTCTCCAAGGAGTAGCCTCTAAAGGATGTTTGCTTCTGTTTCTCCTCATTTTGATGAGTTCTACCTCTAGTCCTATAACTATCCATGTTCCTCTGAGGTTCATAGGGTTTTCAGAGGCTTGTTATTTAAGAAATGGGAATGGCAAACAGACATGAAGAAATGCTCCAAATCACTGACAATAAGAGAGATGCAAATCAAAACCACAATGAGGTACCATCTCATTCCAGTAAGAGTGGCAAAGTTTAACAGGGCAGCAAGTAATAGGTACAGGAGAGAATGTGGTGAGAAAGGAAATATTATACATTGTTGGTGGGATTGTAAAATGGTGCAACCATTCTGGAAGGTAGATTGGCACTTACTCAAAAAGCTGAACACAGAAATTCCATATGACCCAGCCATTCCACTACTTGGAATACACCCTGAGAAAATGAGAACTGAGGCACAAACTGAGATTTGTACACCAATGTTCATAGCAGCATTATTCACCATCGAAGGAACATGGAAACAGCCCAAATGTCCAACCACAAATGAATGGATTGAGAAATTATGGTACATTCACACAATGGAATACTACGCAGCACACAGGAGTGATAACTTTGTAAATTATTATATAACTTGGGAGAGACTGGAAAGCGTTATCCTGAGTTAACTAACTCAGTCCTGTAAGGATAAATATTGTATAACACCATTATTGTAGAATGAGTATAAGGATCCAGGAGGGGTATGGGAGGCTGGAAGCACAGGGATGTGGATATGCAGGGGGAACGGGGGATTAATTATTGGGTTGTACAGTTTGATGGGTAGGGGGTGAGGGAAATGGAAAGAATTTGTTCAAATTTGTATTTGAATTTTATAAATAAACTAGTAGAAAAATTAAATAAAAACTAAAAGAAAATGAAGAAGAAGTGGATGACCAGAATGGGAAAGCAGGAAGCCTTGTTCACTGTAGCATTATTCACCATTGTAAGAACATGGAAACAGCCTAGATGTCCTACCACAAACGAATGGATTGAGAATTTGTGATACATTCATATAATGCAATACTACACAACACAGGAGCAATGATTTCATAAATTTCTACCTAACTTGGGAAAAACTAGAGAGCATTATGCCGAGTGAATTAACTCAGTCTCACAAGGACAAATACTGTATGAAACCTTTATTGTAGAATGAGTATGAGAACGCAAGGTGGGGAGGGATGGTGGAAGCAGAGGGGTGAGGGTGGGTAGGTGGGGTGGAGTGTTAATCATAGGGTTGCACAATTTGATGAGCGGAGGAAATGGGAAGAATCTTGTGTGAATCTTGTGTGAAAAACAATGTATTCAAACTTTGTAAATAAATTGGGAGAGAGGGAGAGGGGGAGAGAGAGAGAGAGACAGGGAGGTGTGGATGACCAATTCTGCTTCCTAATTTGTTTTAATTTGGAAACTCTATTAAATCCTGTCCACTATGGGTGACTCTTGTGGCATTTAACATACTGGAGACATAGCTTTCACACTGACAGCAATCTACAAGTTACCTGAGTACAGCAAACTGACAGACAAGTGCTGTACTAAATAGAACAGTGAATTCCCCCACTACAACTGACTGACAGAGATTAGTATTGTATCTCTCATAGCAAATCAGGCATTGGAATACATAAAGATTACAGACTTGGAAATACTGTGAGCAGTTCCGTTCTGCTCTACAGTGCTGTTCTAAGTTGGAATGCTCTTGATGCCAGTGGGTTTGATTTGGTTTTTATGAACCAAATGTTGCATTGGACAAAACTCCTGCAAAAGAATACTACTTTTAAAAAAGAAAAATGTCAACAATAATGAATGGAAATCCAAAATCCCTGTAAATGATGAATGGAAATCCAAAATCACTGTAAATGTTCATTAAAATTAGTAAAATAAAATAAAAAAAGAAAAATGTCACTTCAAAGACTAAGATTCCCCTGACCCATGTCACAGCCTTTTAAATGATGTTATGAGCACAGAAAACTATACAATGAGAAAGAAGACAGAAGAAGAAGTGGTACATTCAAACTATGATGTGGGTTAAGAATGTTAAACATTCCATGAATTTCCAAAAGAACAAACCAATCAACCTTATCAGAAATACAAGCAGAATGCACCTCAGAAGAGAGTATGGTGAGACTTCAGCTCGCGGACTTTGGATAAATCATCAGGAAAGACAACTTGCTATAAAAGGATGCTTAGAGAGTCAGCAAAAATGAAGGAAGCCCACAGTGAGATGGATTGATACAATATCTGCAACAAAGGATTCTAACATACCAGTGACCATGACAGAAGACACAAAAGCTGGAAACATTTTGCTCAATGTTGCCATGAATTACACCTGACTTGAGGGCAACCAAGGATAATGTGTCAGGCATGGAAGACAGATTTAGCAACAATGGAACAGAAGTCTCTGATCTACCTTTAGCTAATACCCCTAAGTATTAACCAACTAAACCCATATATAAACTCAGCCCTTGTGACTGGCTATCAGGAGAGTGACTTGGTAAGAAGGAAACCAATAAGAGAACCTAATAGTTGTTGTTGGGTGTTGTCAAGTTGACTACGACACATAGTGACCCAGCGAACAACAGGTACGCCTATCCTGCACCATTCCGATGATCTCTGTCCTGCTCTGTCCATTGTGGCAGTCACTGTATCATTCCTCTACCTTTTCTTGTGGGTACTAAGGTGTGCCTGATTCAATCCATAGTCTTTCCCATCACCTGCTGTGCATTTAAGAGCTGGACCATGAATAAAGATGACAAGAGAGGAATTTATCCCTTTGAGCTGTGGTGGTGGAGACAGTGCTGAATAACCCATTAACTACCAAAAGAACACACACACAGATACGTCTTGGAGAAAGTGTAACCAGAGTACTTCTTGGAGGCAAGGATAGTGAAACTTTGTCTCACATGCTTTGAACATGTTGTAGGAGAGGCTATTCCTTGGAAAGTGACATGGTGCTTGGAAAAGAGGAGGGTCAGTGAAAAAGGAGGAAGACCTTCAATGAGATGGGTTGATACAGTGTCTGCAGCAACAGGCTCAAGTGTGTCAGGGCTGGTAGGATGGCACAGGGTAGGACAGGGTGCAGATCTGCTGTTTATGAGGTTGCTATGAGTTGTACTCAACTAGACAGCACTTAACAACAATAAAAACAAAGACCTTTCCTCACATAATGTCTCTTTCCAAGGACTGGTTCCTTCTGAACATATGTTTCAAGTATGTGAGACAAAGTTTCACTATCCTTGCTTCTAAGGAATACTCTGGCTGACCTTGGAATATCAATTCAAGTGTTTCAGGAAGTAGACGCAACTCTGAAGAATCTAATCGGAGAAGCTAATGTCTTCTAGAGTAAGGGCTGTCAGTTAAGAGGGCTTCCTGCAAGAAGTGGCAACTGCTCTACAAGTTGAAAGATGAGTAGCAACAATAATGATAATAAAATGCAACTCAAACTACCACTCATTCAGCTAGTTACTAATATTATCTGGGAGTTAGAGGTCAGAAAACTGAGGCACA